TATATATATATATATATATATATATATATATATATATATATATTCCAGATTACCAGGATATGCTAAAAAATCTCCACCAAATTTTTCTCCATTTGTTAAATAGTATCCCTTTTCCCATAAATCTTTAAATGTTTTATATCGAAGTTGTTGTTTCTCAGTGGAAGGATATTTCCATTCCACTATTTCTATATCATCTTTATTTGTCCATGGGTACACTGAAAACATATTTCTATAAAATACCTAATAGAAATAAATATTAATATTTCTATGAAATAACTAATAGAAATAAATATTAATATTTTTATAAAATACCTAATAGAAATAAATATTATTAATAATAACAATTAATTAGTTAGTTAGCTAGTCTCATATTTTCTTTTGTCATTAATATTATTTTTTTCCTTACCTGTATGGATTTGAATCAAAGCTTCATTTTTGTCTAATTTGGATAATTTTGCCATTTCTTCCTCTAATAAGTCTTGTTTATTTATTTCAATATTATCAAATGATGTTTGCACTTTTGGATCTAATGATTTTATTGCTTTTTTCTTTTTTGTATCTATTCCAAGCATTTTTCGTTTTTTTCCTTCTATAATTTTATCCATCATACCAATCACCTATAACAATATATATTATTTTTATGAAATCAAACCATTTTAATAAGATATTAATAAGATACTTTTAAAGATTGTTCCCTTAATAACCTGTTTTTGCCTTTCTTTCCTTAAACACTTTTCTTGTTCTATGTACAATGTATTTCTGTATTCTTCAAAAGCTTGTTTCAAAGAATCAGATGGTAGTTTTTGAAGACATGAATATTGTACAACCCGTGCAATACCTTTCTCAAGTAAAAAAGATACTTCTTCTGGTTGCAATAGTAATGGAAGTCCTAAAAATATATCTTGTCTGGGTTTCTTTGGAAGACAACCTATGAGTTCACCAATTATTCGATAATCTTTTCTAAGTTTCAACCAATCTAAAAACAAAATAAAAATAAAAATTTATATATTATGTTAAAAAATAAAGCTTTTAATTACATTTATACACTTCAATCCTAAAAATAATAACAAAATTGTTACCTTCTGCATTCCATATAAAGACATTATTTCTTGATAAAATTAAGTCTATCATTCTTAAATATAAAACAAAATTTTCACAAATATAATTGTATAAGATATACTTTAATGTCAAATTTATATTTTATCATGTACTTCTATATACTATCAATTTGAATATTGATCCACATAATATATAATAACAACTTTTCAGTGACTTTTCAAATTAATAAATAAAAAAAAATTTATTTAATTGCTTTACAATATGATATAGTGAAGTATGTAAGATTTATAAAAAAATTGTGTGTCATGTTTAAATTCTTATCGCAATATTACTTTCAAAATTCCTATGACTTGCTTGATGATATTGACGTTTAAATACCAATTACAATTGTTGAATTTTACAAAATGAATGGAATTTTTGCCATTTACTTCGTTTACAGATGTCGCTATTCATCATTTCTAAATAATTATTTCGGGTAGAAGGGGAAGGAAGAGGATTGTCGAACATCTGTCACCAAGCGAAGGCTACGTCCGTTTAGTCCCAAAAACCGCAATACCGTCATGGCACCCGGTTTTATAATTTTTTAAAGAACTTCCAATATATTTGCAATCAGAATCGTGTTCATACAGTGTTGTTATTTCTACCCTAACGTTTGTTCGTATTTGGTGAGTGATTAAACGACAGCTACATATTCTTGTTTACCAATTGCGTAATGAACAAATAAATCGAAATTGAAGGGCAAGCCCTTCAATTGAAGAACTACTCATTTTTATGACTAACCTTCAAGTTCGAAACGTGTATACTTCTGTTTCTCCCAATTAGACTTACATGTTTTAATAATGCGTGTTGTATGAAGTCTATTTTGGTTATAATATAATATTTCACCTCGTTTCAGTACGTTTTGTAAGTTTTTTCTAATTATGGAAACATAATGATTATAAAGATAATTATATTTCCTATGTAATTATTTATTCGAATGTTTTAACAATACTATTTTTAGATAAAATGTTCGATTGTATTTTCGTTATTATTTTTTATTATAAGTACATTTTTTATGTTTTCTATTAGTTTAAAATATTATGGAAAGATAATTTATTTTAGTTGATAATATTTATTTACTGCTGCAGTACAAGAAAAATGAGTTCAGGTAGACCAATCAAATGTGTAGTGGTAGGAGATGGAACAGTAGGAAAAACATGTATGTTAATATCATATACAACTGATAGTTTTCCAGGAGAATATGTTCCTACAGTGTAAGTACAGTGTCAGTCATCATTAGAATATGTTTTATAATAATACAATATGAACAATCACACACACACACACAAAATATAATCAAAAATTATTTAGAAAATATATTTGTGTTTTTAAACTCAATATCTAATTTTTATTATTTCTTTTTTTCTTGAAACTGTAAGTTAGATACTTAAAGATAATAAAGTAAATATCTATTGTTTATAAGACATAATTCATTCTATATTATAATTCTTCAAATTTTAAAATCTTTTTAAAATTTATAGGATGTTTTATTTTATATTTGATGTTTTAAACATAAGTTTTATGATTTTTCATAGGTTTGACAATTACTCAGCACCTATGGTTGTTGATGGAATACCTGTTAGTCTAGGACTTTGGGATACAGCAGGTCAAGAAGATTATGACAGGCTTCGTCCACTCTCATATCCACAGACTGATGTTTTTTTAATTTGTTTCTCAGTAACAAGCCCTTCATCTTTTGAAAATGTTACTAGTAAATGGTATCCGGAGATAAAACATCACTGCCCAGATGCCCCGATGATACTTGTTGGAACTAAAATAGACTTAAGAGATGATCGTGAGACACTTACTGCCTTAGCTGAACAAGGTCTTAGTGCTATAAAACGAGAACAAGGACAAAAATTGGCAAATAAGGTTGGAATAAACATTCATAAATTTGAATTAGTTAATAAAAAAATGAATTGCAATAATTTCTCAATTAATGAGTTATTTCAAATATAATGTACAGATTCGTGCAGTGAAATACATGGAATGTTCAGCACTCACACAGCGTGGTTTAAAACAAGTGTTTGATGAAGCCGTACGTGCTGTTTTAAGACCAGAACCTCAAAAACGCAGACAAAGAAGATGCATTATGCTATAAACAATATTTAATCAAGATTCAATATAGGTAAAATCACATCTAAACTGACAGACTGAAATTAATTTTCTCAGAAACAAAAGGAACAAAATATGGATGTTTTGAAAAAAAGGTAGCAAACTATACATTTTAATGAATTTCTCTGGCAGCTATAATTTAGTGCATTATAAATGGAGTACAATTTGCAGCTTGTATTTTGTTAAAACAAGTTATAAAATTAATATAAAACTAGAAACTTAACAACAAGAAATATGATACTGCTATAATTTTTAACCAGTACTTAATGTTTAAATAAATAAAAATAATTCTAAATTTGCATGTGTCCAAGGTAGTGGTTTTAATATAATTTTATACGTTAATGCACTAGTCACATACTAATATATAATATATATTCACTGTTTGCTATTATCTTTTTCATAAAATAACAATTTTACATTTTTTAATATAACAATCTAATTTATGTTAAAATAAAACTGACATATTATTATTAACAATTTAGAATGTTAGAATTTTGAGCACAAAGGCTGCCAGATTTCTAAATTTTTATACCTATAGTAGTAAAAACATTCATTTAGTATATACATATGATAGTATATACATATGATATAACAATCGGTATACTATCAATTTTTATAAAATGTAAAATAGCATTATAGAATTATTTAAACAGACAGTGCCATAGCAACGAAAAAAATAAATCAATGATACAAACATTTTTTATGTCAGTTCTAGACAATATGTATGTATTTTTTAAATCTTGCATCAGAGAACATTAAAAAAAGTATAAAGGAATTGAAGAATCTCATAATAAGAAATATTTTATATTTATCTTAAAGTTTTTGATAAATATTACAATTGTAATATTTCTTTATACTCTGACAAAAAGTAATACATTATGCATAAAATACTGCCATCAAATAGTCATACGTTTTGTGCATAGTAAATTTAGTAGTTTTATATGGCACATTTTATTGTCTAGAATTTGAACATTTTTCTCATACATAATACAAATATAATGTATTATGTATATCTTAATATTTATTTTATTTTGACTATATGACGAGTAGTCATACTCTAAAGAAAATTTATTACAAAAACATTTTAAATGTTTTTATATCTGAAGTTGTATTTCTGTTGTTGCATGTGGCAGATACAATTTTACAGATTGTTATACTGGTGCAATCTGATTAATGAAAGGCTCTAAATTATTTTTCATAAAAACTGAGGAGTGCATTGTGAAAAGAATAATCAAAATATATTTAAGAAAATGTAATACCAGTAACAAACATATGGTGCAAAGTATGCCTATAATACAGAGAACATAGCACAATTTATTTTAAAGAGTAGCCATGACATTTTTAATCTTCTATTATTATTTTTATAAAATTCATTTACATTAATTTTTACATTAAAAAGATTAATAATACATTTTACAATAAGAAATTATACATTTTATATACAACAAATATTCTTGTTTTGCTCTTACATATGAAATTATTTACACATCCATATCTATATTTAATTTATTTACCGTATAACATAGTTTATTTACATTTTATAGTAGTAAAATATTATTTTGATAAATATTACATGCTCTCTATAAAAGGACTCAATAAAAAAATAGTGTGATGATGACTAACAAATTTTCCACCATTTATGAACATGCTATTTTTTTATATTTGGAAGAAAGCTTAGGATATAGGAAGATAGGACATGCGTGCCATATGCTTTCAAATTTATAAAATGAATATTGAATATCATACTTTATTTGTACTTGTACTCAATGTGCATTTCGAACGAATTAAAGATATGTCAACATATTTCAAAAAAAATTCCTAGTGTAAGTGAAGAAGAGGTGAACTAAAAATGAGGCATATTAATGCTTGCTAAGTGTACATACTGTAGCATATAGTGGTAACATGCTCTAAATTTCAATCAAATTTAAACGAATGCTATAATTATCTTTCTGTCTTCTGATGTATTTCAGTATGTACACAACTTGTTATTAAAGCAATTAGCGATGTGATTGAAGTATAGAGTGTGTCATAAAATGTTTGCAGTAAGTTTTTTTTTATATACTTTTTATTACTTTGTTACATGTGCTATGATTTTGAATATCACAATTATTTTTGCTATTTTTTGCTGCAATATTTTATAAATTTATATTTCAGTTAAGAACATACAATATATTTGTGGTTTCTGCATAAAACAATTATTTTTCAAATGTTTTAAAAAAGCACAATTAAAAATGACATTATTATTATCGTTGTTCTACAACAAATTTAAGCCTAGGAATTTTTTATATTATGTACATACGTACATAAATGATACATTTATAATATAATCAGATATCAGCAGCGTGTTATATAGTAATTGTACGTAAAGTTTGCATTTATTGTAAGTAGTGCATTTATTTTACAATTATTATTGAAGATAAAGTTTATCACACAAAAATTAATTGAAAATAAGGTCAAAACAAAGCACAATTTTTTAAATAGTATTTAAATATTTAATTTTTAAGATTAACATGAACTTTTTGCAGTATTACAGAATGTAAATAAAAATTTTTATCTATTATTTCAAAATTTACTACTTATACCTAAATTTTTTTTTGTATACACTATATTTAAACTGATATATATTTGCAACTATAACAAGAATAATTAACGATAGTTCTATTTAAGTGAAAAAAAATAAGTTCAGGCAGCTAATATGAAACATGCAAGTAAAATGTTTCGTAATTTGTATATATATTTCTTTTTAGCAAATAGGATTAAAATTGATGAATATTCGTTACTAGCATAACAATGAATTCATACAAGTTGGTAAGATGAATTACACTACTTACAACTTGTGCATTTAATATAAAAAGTATTTGATATTGACTTTTCTCTTTTTTAAAAACAAGAAAGTGACAGAAATGGATGCTACAAACCAAAGTTAAATGTTACTTTTCATGTAACATTTATTCTTTATTACGTATTATTGCATATAAGTGTATGAAATGTAAAAATATTCTAGTCATCATGAATTTGATTTTATTTGTAAATGACAAACTTTTTATTGAAATTTTTATTCAATTTATATCTAATTAATAAACATTGTTTTATTAAAAGAAAGAAACAATCAAACTGAAATGATAAAATAGAGAACATGAAAGTATTGATCTAATTTAAGATATTGTCAATTTAAACAAAGCAAAATAAACCAAACAAGATAAGAAATTGTTAGAATACAAATATATGTACATGTATTAAGTAAATTTAATCGTCAGTAACTTAGAAACAACATTTATCTATTTTCTTAAAATTTCTGTAAAATTGCTAATTTCTGTACTAATAAATAGACTGCGACTATTTATGCAAATATATATTTTCACGAATATAATTAAAAAAATGAAATATAAGTAAGCAATGATTTTATTTATTAGATGCAAAATGTTTTGGATATTTTATATATTTTTGTTCATTGTGTTCATTTTTTTTTCTGGTATTTTTGAATTTTCAAATTTTTTATAAATGCATAAAAATCTGCAGTCTATTAATAAAGCAGCACAAGAGAACTTTATGCGAATACAAATAATATTTTATTTATATCTGCGTATAATTAATAATACTAAAAAATTTTATGTAAATTATATTATTACATTACATAATAGTTAAATTTTTATTAAAATATAATAATAATCATTGTATTTTCATAAATAAACTCTTTTGCTGTACAAAAACGAATACCGAGATATAAATTAAAAAATTAATTTTATCTATCCTATTTTCTTATAAAAAATTCAAATTACAATGTTGAATAATAATCAAAATGTAACTATATAAATGCATGTTCTACCTACCACTGGAAAGCATTTACTTTTATTTATGTGTATTTTAAAAACGATTTCTTAAAATAAAGTATACACATAATATTTAACTTTTAATTATTTATTCATCATTAATTTAACTTTTCAAAATATCGCAATACCGTATTAAAGTATTTGAAACAAAAATTGTCATAGAATTTTAAGTTATAATTTTATAACACATATTTTATTATATTTTATAGCATATAATTCATTCTAGTCATTAATATAATTAAATTTGTGTTTTTATTTTAATTTTCGTAGAATTTAAAATGTAAAAAATATTTTGAAAATTTAGTATAAAAAGCAAATATTTATAGAATGTGAGAAATTTTTACATAATGTAACAAAAAATTGAAAAATTGTATTCAAATGTTAACAATAAATAATAATGAAACAAAATAAAGTAGAAATGTAATATTTTTATTTTCGATACTTAAAAACATTTTACAATTAAAGAAAGAAAAATGCGTGAAGCTTTTATATTTATTAAATTTTGTATAATATGTACATTTTGTATATATTTTGTTTAATCCAATATCATATTACAACTAATTTTTGATACAAGTATCATTTTAATCTACGAAAATTAATGAATTAATGTCTAATAATATGTATAGATCAATATTTATTTGCCTCCTACTCACAAATGGGAGATGAAGCGAATGAATAGGATATGTATACTTGTTTAATCTAGTCTAAACGTATAACCATATTACCAATTAATTTCTCGTGTATTGTTGTAAACATAACCTAAGTGTATAATTCTAAAAAATGTTATGCAGAACAATTTTTAACATTATCCGAAGAACAGAATATATAAATACGCAAATGTCATGTGCATTAAGAAGCGTATTAAAATTAAGTTCTACGCCATACAATTTACTTATAAATTGTTCAAATCCACAAAATCTTAATTCTATGATATTCGTAAGATTTAAGAGCAAAGGCAATATTTCAAAGAAAGTAAGATAATTTTATTACATTATATTTTAGCACGCTTATATTTAGTATATTCAATGCGTTAAGTATAAATTTTGTATATTTATACATATATACTTATTTACTTATTTTAGTTATTGGTTTATTATAATTATTTTTATAATAAAATGTATAGATAATTAAATATTTACAGTTTAAAAAATTGTTATTTATTGGAGTAAATAATTTATTATAAATAATAGAAATATTTTGTATAAAAGTTTCGATGTACTTAAAGATATTTAAAATTTAATAAAAGAGAAAATGAAATAATATTAATTCAAAGCGTATCGAATATCTTAAATATAGTTAAATCTGCAACATGTAATTAAGAAGAAATCAAAATACAATTAAATACAAAATTAGTTTATAATTCTATTATTTATAAATAATTTAATACATTAAAAGGTTAAATAAATATTTGATAACTTTGGTAATTGAAAATATAAAGTACTATACTGTCTAAATTTAAATATACAGAGTAAGGATGAAGAATCAGACGAGGAATCAGATGAAGATGATTTTGAAACAGAAATTGGTACAAAAATAATTGAAGTTACAGTACCTTCTCTTCGATTGGATGTTATTGCCAAAAGCGGTTTTGGAAAGTCACGTGCGTAAGTTATTATTGAATTATTTATTGAAATATATAACTAATATTGTTTATTACAAAATATATTACAAAATATAACTTTTTTTCTAGCCAATTAGATAAGATTTTTTACAATAGTAATTTACGTTTAAATGGAAAAAAGTGTTTAAAAAAGGCAACGATGGTATGATACTTGATATAAAATTAAAAATATCTGTTACAATAGAAATATATTATATTTTAATTATTTAGGTCCAAATTGGAGATGAAATAGATCACATTCAAGGACGAAATCCTAAAAATCCTGAGTATTTGATAATAAATCGATGTGTATTAAAATCAGTCAGTGTGGATCCAGAAACAGATACTATCAAAATAAAGTTAGCTCAAAATAAATCCTTATTAATTGAAGATTATACAGACAAATGGCGTGAGTCGTAATAAAGTGTAAAATTCATTAATATATAATTTATATAATAAATGTATAATAGGTTTTATAAAAATAGAATAAAGGAATTTTTAATAACATGCAAGTTTTAAAAATGACTTTTAATGATATAACAACTAAATTATTTAAAAAAGAAATTATTTATTAAAATAGTTTCATGTAAAAGTATCTTACATTTATTTATCTGACTTAATATTTATTTTTGCTAGCGTGTTTTCTATAATTTTATTACACTGCAAAAAAAATACACTCTTTAAAATTATATTGAAAGAAAACTATATAAATTTTGTATTAAATTAAAATAAAATTCTATTTACTTACATAAGCTATACAAAGTATTCCATTTGAATATAAGTTATTTAAATCTTCTAATGCCTTTGTAATATCAGACATACATTTGATTTTCTGAAAAAAAAGAGTAGGATTTAAATATATAATAATGCGTAAATTGATAATCAAAATAACATTATTAAATTTTAAATAAAATAAAATATATTTACCTTCAAAATAAATATTGTATCGTCATCATTTAAAAATGGTAAAAGTGCAAGTGCTAAATGTACTTGTTGGCATTGAAGACAATACTTTATAATATTAGTGAAATTTAACATATGTGTAACTGGACATGAATATAAAAGTTGTAAAGCTTCGATGCAGTCTTCAATTTGTTCAGAGGTTGGATTCATATCCATTTTTCTAAAAGGTTCTGAAATTATTACTTCCCATCCCAATAGATATCCATTAGAATTTATAATGGCATTTATATTCCGTATTTGTAGTAAAATTGTTTTTAATTCATTTATCTGTAAATATGACAAAAATGTAAAATATTATTTTTATATAGTTTAAAATATTTTAATTTAAAATAATAAGTTTTATTAATAATTAACCATTAATAATTTAGCTAATTTAGTTAAATTTTTATCCCAGAGAGAATATTCATATATTTCAAAATCTATGCAAAGTTGTGCGATAATAACAAGAGCTTGCGGCGAATAACTTCGTGTTTTCCATAGAATTTGTATAAGTTCATGTTTTTGACACGTTTCAAATGTACTTATACTGTAACCTACTCCTAATGATTCCAATTTACTTATATATTTCAAAGATCTCATGTAATTTCTGAAATATAAATATTTGAAAATATTATATAAAATAAGAGAATTAAAAATATAAAAGAATTAGAAAATAATATTTACTTAATTGTTTGGGCATTACGTTTAGTTAAATGTTCCAATTTAACGGGATGAACTATAGTTTGTAACATACGAAGAGCTCTATAACATGCTTCAGGACTATAGTTTTCATTTTTTTCATCAAAAGCTATATTTATAAGAAAATTTGCTGAAAATTCGAGATCTCCATATTCTAAAATATAGCATGCTCTGGAAATTTTTTTATCAATGTTTAGATATTTTACATAATATATACAAAAAAAGAATATTTCAAATATACTGATATACCTCAATAAATTATCATCAGAATTTGAATTTGATTCGAAATTTGTTGTTGCTGAAAATGTATCTGTTATACTTCGATTAAGTTTTATATATTTAGTATCTGGTTGTAGCCATTCCTGTACTAATTCCATCCGTAATTTAATCATATTGATAGAAAATAACTGACTGATAGAATTAACTGCAGAATTTATATCAGGTCTATGATCAATAACACATCGATATCTTTGAGGAATACTTTCATCTGCATATAGTTCACGAACTAGTTTATTTGGATTCCCGATTAATGACAAATAATTTTTATTTTTCAAGCCATATACATGTAAAATATGTTCCGATGTAAATCGTAAATATTTGAATTTGATTTTCTGAAACAACACAGAAATGTTAAGTTAATATATTAATAAAATTGTAAGAAATAAAATAAAAAATATACTTCTAGCATTCCATCTTCAAACATTGTAGATTTCTGGGCTGATAGCTGAGCATATTTATAACACTCTTGAACGGCTGCTACTTGATCAGCTCCTAACAGTAATGAGATTATTTTATTCTGATTTGTCAAAATACCTTTTCAATAAGATATAATTTGCGATATGATATAATATTTAAAATACCTGGTGGTGTATGATTGACAACATAATATAATGCTGCTGTGCCATAATACAATGCATCTGGGCCAGTCATTTTTTTTATACATTTTTTTATGTCATCTAACAAACTATTATTTTTTAAACAAACAGACCATTTAGTTGTTTTATGTTTATTTTTCCAAATATGTGTTACTTCTCCTTTTATGGCTAGAGTACATATGATATGAGGTTGTAATTTAAGAATAGGAGCAATATCTAACCATTTCTCATAAGTCTTCAAATTTAATTCCGGAGCTAAAAGTATAAATCGTTATTAAGGTAATGTCTTACAATTTTTATTTATTCAAACATAGGAAATATTATGCAGTTAAAAAATTCTACTTATAAGTTTCCACAATTCAATTTTAGGTAAAAAAGGTAACCGCCATTCTGCTATAGATGGTAAGGATGTATGTCCTGGGTTAAGATGCATCCATTCGTCACATTCCACTTGTGTAGCTGGACTAAAAAAATATATACATATATAGTAAATATATATAGATATATTGATTTAAAATTTGCAAGATATATTACTATAGTATGTTAAGTATATATATTCTTACCCAACGCGAGTATAATTTTGTAAAAAGCAAAAATAATTTCTATGTTCTATATTTTTTTCTTCTATGAGATCCATAAGAATAATAAATATTTCATAATAGTAAAAATTTATCTAAAACATTTAAATAAATTTATAATTTTAAACATATTACATTTATAATATGTTAGTATACTCAATATTTTCATACTTGTGACAAGACAGTTGTAATATAGTTTTTTAAAGCAACTTTATCCAAGATATAAGCAGCAATTCTATTGCACTTTATTCTTAACTCGTTTACTTCATCTTCATTAATATGCAATTCTAAAACCACAATTATAAAAAATATTGAAAATAAATGTATTAAATTTTTACTTTCTAATCTTCACCTTTTTCCCCATTGTAATTGTTTATATTTAATTTTGGTTCCCATGTTTTTACTATCGTTTGTAAATAAAGTAATAAACAATCTTGAATATCAAAGCCAAAATCAAAGCAAAATTCTTGAAACAAAGGGACCATATCATCATTATAACTCATAATACGTTGCAATATCTCTCTCTTAGTTGTATTATCACTTGTTAAGAGTTCTGCAAGTATTTTTTTACAAATATATTTTTCATATATTTATATAATCATGCAAAGAAAGTAATGAAGTAATTAATTTAAACCTTTATGTGAAATTAAATATTTAGATAATTTTTGTGCCCAATAATGCAATATTTTATTATTTTTAAATATTTCCAGAAATGTTATATTTTTTGTTAAATGAAAATATTCATATCCAAGTATTGTTATTCTTAAATGTCGAGTGCAATCTGTTTGAAATCTAAAAAAATATATTTTTATACTATGTACTTTGCAACTTTTACTTATTTGCAATTATATTAAAATACTTACGATTTACAAGCAGAAGATATCCATTTACATGCTTCTGAATCAGGCAACATAAACAAGCACGATAAACTAAGCTGAAGATCAAATAATCGGCTATTTATTATTTTTTTCAACAGTATCATCAAAAGATGAAAATATACTGATTTAATTTTTATTAATAGAGTATCATTTATATTAATAAATATAGATATAACGCAAAAATTGAAGTATAAAGTTTTAATAATCTGTAATAAGCAATAATCGCTATGTTCTATTCTTAAATTTTTTATTTTACTGAGCAAATCATTCAATGGTTCTTCTGTAATTGGCTAAAAAATTATATTATTTATTTTATACATTAATACTCAACATATATAAATATTAATAATACGTGTGATTCGATTATTATATATTAATTACCTGATTCGAATTTTCAGTAATTTCATCAGTTGGTACATGTTCTACATTAAATGAATAGTTAGTTCTATATTTAATATATTAGTACATGATATAATTAACGTCATTAATAAATTTTAATTTACCGTATTTTAATTTAGCCATATAATGTCTTTGTACAGAAATTACATTTCTAAAGAGTGGTAATAAAAATTGATCCGTTGCAATAGCTAAATCTTTATACATTATATATAATTTCCAGTTTGATCTTGGTATTTCATCATTCCTCACATGTGGTGAATCCAGACCATATCTACAGTTTTTATTAGCACACTTTTGATATAAATTTGTCCATGTTTGTAATAATAATATAGATTGTAATTCATCTAAAAATAAATGTTATTAAATATAAAATTATTAGTATTTAAACAATTTACATACCATCTAAACATACGCATAATGCAGCAGAACTTAAGCTATGAATTGTAAGTGCAATATCTGTATCTAGTTTAACATCCTGCATAATTAATAGACATATCTTATATACAAATTGGCATTCATCTGTCATTATATTTAATTGTCCTTCTTTGCACCTAAATACAAGTAATTATTTTATTAAATTAATTAAATTAATATAACTAAACGTAACGTTATATTTTAATCAATATTAGAGTCATACCTAATGAAATAATTTAATATGTTTACATTGTTTGTCTGTTCTAGTAATATAAATATAGCATTAATTCTTTGTAATTTAAGTAAATCTGCAATCTTTATAACTTTTTTATAAGTGATCAATAAATTTTCATCTTCCTTTATACTCACTGAAAAATTAGTACAAAAATTAAAACTATAAATATTTAATTATTAAGTATAAAATATAGAGAAAAATTATTTCATACCATTATGCAGTCTCTTAATGTAATTTTGTAATATCTGCTTTTTTTTAACGTGATATTCTTCCAGTGTAATATCAATTTCGAAATCTTTCTTTAAAAAATACATCGATTTTATTTCATTTATATTATTGATAACGTTGTGACAATGATTGAAATGGATTTTGCACTTTCTTGAAAGCTTTTCCAACTGTAATTTTATCCAACCCAACATTTCAATATGATATGTAAGGGATTCAGGCATGATCTGTGCAACAAATGTATAGTTCAATAGTATTATTTACTACTGTAAGAAATGTAAAAATATTTTTGAATAAAAATTGTTTCAATATACCTTTAACGTTAAACTAGCTGTTACATAATTAACGATTTGTAAACAACAATATAACAAGACATCATCCTCTAAGGAATTTAACGTCTTCGTTACATTTTCAAAATTGCTATAAGAATTTTTATTATTAGCCAATTTTAAAAAATTATTTTATATTTTGTATTTAAAATATCTTACCTTCTAACTAGATAATAATTTACACAAGATGAAAATGCTTTTTTTCTTGATAATAAGTCATTTTTGGTTATTTGTTCAATATCTGAAATCATACTTTCACGATTTTCTTTTATTATACGATGTATTAATTTCTGCAAAAGAGATTAGATATTAATAAAACACTTAAATTGCAAAATTTGTCTTTTTGCAAATGATTTGTAAAATTTACTAACATTATTTATACCAATGCGTTCATATCCATATTTCTTTAGGATAAGTTTAATTGGAACACAATTATGTTCTATCTTGATTTGGGATGTTAAAATATGGTCAAAATTATAACTTGTTTCTGTTAAAGATACAATAGTTGAAGACCATGGAACTGTAGCTTTTTTTAGCACTTCTAACGTTTGTTGTAATTTAGTCTGTAATTAGACATACCTTGACATACAAATATCTTTAATTTTATACATACATATATACCTCTATATTCTGAATTAAATCAATAATAAGAACAATTTTTTTCTCCCATGGAGCTTCTTCACCTGACCACCAACTTCTAGAATTCCTTAGAGTTCTCTGTATAAATATAATTTTCATTAATATTCAACATTTGATTAATTTTAATTTTCAAGCATACCTGTACATACGACGAAAACACATAATCATTTTGTAAAGAATTATTTAACATGTATTGTTTTAAAAACGTATTTACAAATTCTCGAAGTATATCTACGTGTATTTTATCCAATAATATATATGATACTTCCAAAGGGTCCTCGATATACGAATTAAGAGAGATTGTTAATCTATAATTTTTATTAATTATATTATTTTGACAAACATATCACTTGAAATAATTTAAAAAATTTAGAAGTTTATAATATTACCTATAATTAACTTTAAGTTTTTGAATATCAGACATAGCTTGTATTAAAAAAACAAGCTGTTTTAAATTAGAGTCTTTGTTTAGATATTCTTGCTGAAGATATAAAGAATGATGGTTTTCTTCAAATTTCAATAACTTTATAAACTTTTTTGTAAAATCAATTCCAATCTGAGGCCATTCCGAACGATGAGAGTGTTCAAATGATTTAATTTTTTTACTACCCCAAAGAATTATTTCACGCATCACATTAGGAATAAATGACAATAAACTCGGAATAAAATGTGACAACCATGACCAAAGAGCAATTAACGATATGTTCTCAGGAAGAATTGTAAATATATCTTTTACAATTTCTATAGATACATGTTTTATTAAATCTGGAAGATGTCTTGTCCAAATTAAAGTAGCTGCTTCCATTTCACCCTATAATTAAAAAAATATAATAATAAAAAGAATTTAACCAGTTTCATTAGGTTAATTTAATAGATTTTAGCTATTAATTATACTTTACCAAACTCAAATATGTTTTATATTCTTCAATTAAATTTGCCCGTGAAAATCTAATCCATTCATTCATAATATCTTCATCATAATATTCTACATTTTTCTGATAACCCCAAATCATATGAAAACTTTCTAACTTATGTAGTATATTATTAGTTGAAAAAAGAAGATTTAAATATTTATCATCTTTCTAAAATTAATAATATAAATATCATTAATATGGAACATAGAAAAATTAATACAAATATTACCAATTAAAAATTATTTACAGCGGCATATTCTATTACTCTTGAACGTGCATATAAATTAATTTTTTTCATTTGTTTATATTCTGATGTAAGTGCTTTGTTACAACATTCTACCACATATTGCACATCTTTTATTTTGTCAAATATATTAAAAAGCACATTTAATTGAACAGGACTAAAATTTTTTTTTGTCCAGGGTCCAAATTGTGACAGAAGCAATGTAACTTTTGCATAATAAATAGGATCTGTAGATAAATTATATTTATTTGCAAAAGCTTCAGCTGCATCAAATTGTTTTTTTCTAACTAAACGTTGCAATTGGTATTCAGGTAGACTTTCTGATATAGTTTTTACTCTAATTGTATCTATATATTCATCCTTGTTAGAACCATTAATTCCTTCCAAATATAAAATTACTTCATCACAAGGATCCATAATTTCAATAAGATACGTTGTAATTGATACATTTATTTTAAATTTTTCTTGGAAATCTGAATAAAATAAAATAATAAAATATAAATGAAAAGATATAGTACGATCAAATAACTATGTACATAAAATTAATGCCTTGTACCTGGGTAAGAGACCATATGTAATGTACGTGCAGTACAATTAGTATCACACGTTAACATAAGGATTTGACACAAATTATTATTATTACTTTCAATAATTGCAAAATCTAACACAGATTTAGAATATACTTTTACAGCAAGTAAAGTTCGAGGACATATTACACTTAGGATATAATCTGTACGCAAACATAACATTGCACTAAAATAATCAAAATTAATATCTTCTATTAGATTCTGTTACAGTTTAAGAATTATTTAACAAGTAATGATTATATAATGACAAATACTTACATGTAATTCTTAAAAAATTTAACTTTAGTATAATTATAATTAAACATACTAAAATTAATATATTGTTTACTAGGCCACATAAATAACATATTCGAGCATAACATAGCTATTGATATTTCCTTAGTTATCATACTCGAGGTAGCATATATTACCTATGGAATTCATAATATCGAAAATATCGTAATAGATTTTAGTCAAAGAATCTATTTAAAACATATTTTTATACATATACATGCAAGCATAATTTACCTCATCATAAAAAAATCCTTCAAATAATTGTGTACATTTAATTTCTTTTGTTACCTCTTTTAACATATCATTAACATTAATTTCGTTTGCAAGAGTAGACTGAACAAGTTTAGTATTAAACTGTGATATTCTGAAACATGAATATAAATTATAATATAAATTTTATAATAATTAAATTTTATAGATTATTATTCACCTGTAAACGGCTCCATTTTTTGTGGCAAGATATATATTAATATATTGATCGGGTTCATTTTGTAGAAATATTGTTGTTATTTTATCTTCAGTTTTTGTAATATTTCTACATATAAAAAATGAGTAATTTTATAAATGATATAATTTATTGTATTATATATAGTATTTATTTGTATATACTTACTTTGCGAAGGTTATTTGTCCCTTATTTAATAAATGAAGACAATATAATGTTCCATTTGATAAAACAACAAATAAAAATATACCATCATGAGAAATACAGTAACATGTTATTAATAATTCGAAACTAACATTTATTAGTATTTTTTCACACGTTTCATTTTCAAATATAGTGATTGATTTATCAATTGCTATACAAACTCTTGAATATTGTATAGACGCTAAAATATTTGGTTCCCTTGATACCTTATAAATATAAAAAAAAAAA